CCCCCCCCCCCCCCCCTCCTCCCGGTGCACGGCCGTATCGGTGCATGCAGCCCCCCCACACACACATTTGCACACTCCGTTCCGTGTGCCCCCACTGCCCCGGGGACCAAACCCCCGTGGGGGAGCGGCGGCGGGGGCTACGGAGCGGAGCGGGGGGGATCGAAGGGGGGGGTGCACCCACTGGCAGGCAGCCCCCAGCTGTGTGCACCCACCAACAAGCGTGCAAGAAAAAGCATGCACCCACCAGCGAGCGTGCACCCACCAGCGAGCGTGCACCCACTGGAAAGCGTGCACCAAGATTACTGACATGGGTGAGCACGCACCGGTAAGCGTGTGCTAAAAAGCGTGCACCCGCCAGCAAGCATGCAGCAAAAAAACGTGCGAGCGTGCACCCACCCGTGAAGAGGCCCCTGGCAGCATGCCCACGGTCCCCCAGCCCCTCGCCCCCCAACCCTGGCTGCATTCTGTCGTCCCCCCCCCCAGCCCGAAGGACCCTGCAGCTCTGGGTGGCAACACAGCCAGCACCCACCCTTTTATCTGTGCAACCCCCCCTACCCCAGCCCTGGGGGTCCCAACTGTGCTGCCCCAGCACCGAGGACCCCTACAGCACCCTGCACCCCCCGCGATGGTTTTCCTCTGCAACCCCCCCCCCGGCTCTGTAAGCCCTGGGACGCTTCAAATCAAGGTCACTCTTGTCTTAAGCTCTAATCAGCGGCCGTAATCCCTCGGCTGCCACGGGGACTTAATAACTTTGCAGATGGCACGGCTGAAGCCGCCGGGCAGGCGCCCACCGGGGTGCTGGGTGGGTGGGGGAAGAGGACACCCCAGGGAGTAGGGACACTCGGGCTGAGTCCCACGGGCAGCAGCTCCCTGCTTTCTCCAGCATCGATTTGCTCCCGGCCACCCGTGGGAGCCATGGGATGGGGGAAGGATCGCTGCCTCCTGGCCCAAATCCTGTCCGTGGAGGACATGGGGACGGGTGAGCCCAGGGATGCTCGTGGTCCTTACGGGATGCACCAGCAGACACGGGGAAGGCTCCTGCTCTTTGCCCCATCCTGAGCGACCCCGTGGGTTCGTTAGCACCAGCACCCAGAGCCAGGGTCATCCTCTGCATCTACTGCAGCTCGTTCAGCCTTTATAGGAAAAGACTAACTTGGTTGGCTTCCCCAGTACCGAATCATTTCATTCCAACCGAATTTGCAGGACAACCGAGCTGAGAGGTGGGAAAAGACCCTTGCAGGGGAATGAGCAGACACCCCTGACCTGCTCCCTGTCCCCGGACCTTGTCCTCCTGCCCCACTTCTGGCAGAGATGGGAGTTAAACCCAACAGCAACCCGTGATTCTCACCGACATCCCTCGGGGAAGCGCCTCTGGAGGGGAAAACACGGCTGTTTTCTCCCCATCCAAGTGCTTTCCTGGTGGGTGCCCCTGGAATAAGCTGCACCTTCAGGCACAACCACAGATCCAGGTCTCCAGCAGCTACTTGGCCCATTGAGAAAACAAAACCGTTCCCTCGCTGTTAGCTTCGCTCACGCTTGGAGCAGGGAGCCCGGCCAGAGCACAGTCAAACCTCATCCCCCTCCGCTGCCGTAGTTTGAGCTGCAGCTTCCCCGGGGGGGTTCCCGCTCCCCAGCCACGTTCCCACCCCGGGAGCTGTTTCCCCACTTCCCGTGTGGTCCCTTCATTACCTCCATGGGCCCTGTGTGCTCCAGGGTCAGGCACCGAGCTCCCCCAGGACTCTGAGTTTTTTTCCCCTTTGAGGATGCTCCAGAGAAAAGGCTGCACCCTCAGGGGGGGCCACCCCTGCAGCGGCTGCTCCCCATCATGCCTAGGCTGATGGAAACCTCCCGTTCCCTTTTTTTTCCCCAGCTCTGAGAAGATAGAAAGCTATCGGTGGCTCATGATAAGCTCACTGAGCTAATAAGCCAGAAAAATGAAGGTGTGGAGGGGATGGGGAGGCAGCAGGGGTTTTTTTTTTTTGGTGGGGGAGGACATAACGTAAGCGGGAAATCACCGAGGGCACGGCTTGGACCGGCTCTGGACTCTGCAGATACTCCAGCCCCACCACACGCACCAGGGAAAGGCTAGAGCAAACCCCCAAAGCCACGTCTCGGGGATGAGGGCTTATGATTCAGGGGCTGAATTAAACACACCAGACGAGGGGAAAGGGAAGAGGAAGAAATTCAGCCTCATTTCCCAGCAGGCAGGGCTTTGTTCCTGGGTTCGGAGTGTTTAACGCTTACCTGTGGATTTTTCCGCTGGCAAATTATCCTAACGAAGCTGGCATGACTTTGGCAGGACACCTACGTGCATTCCCTGATCCAGCCTGGTTGTGCGCAGGGAGGGGGAGGAAGAAAAGCAGGAGAGATCAGTCAGCTCGTGTACAGAGAGAAATCCCCGTCCCTGAGCAGGCCAAAGCCTCCAGCTCCCCTCCACCTCGGAAGCCAAATTTCTGTGTTTAACTCCGACCGGGTCTGGTGGCTTTGCAGGACCCCGAGACCCCCTGGGTTGGGGAGCTCAAGGCTGAGGGAGATTCCATCCACAGGGAACACTGAGGCCAGAGCCCTGTCCGGCCGCTAGCTCCGTGCAAAGGCATCCCGGGATGTTTCATGCTACCTGCTAATTGCCAGAAGATGCAAAACCCATTGGGTCTTGTTCTGCTGCCTCCTCTGCAGCAGGGAGGAGGGGGACAGGCTGGAGCAACACCCTGGCATTTCAAACTTGGTGCACCGACAAAAACCCCAAAATCCATGATGCCGTCACCCTACCTGCAAGATGCATCGCTGTGGCACGGGCAGCTCGCTCGAAAAGCCACGTCTCTGGTCCAGGCAGCACAGGCAGGAACAGTACCGTGATATGGGAACTGCTGGGAATAATGTTCCGTGATATCAAGGAAAGAGCTGCCCAGCAAAGAGGGGCTGCCTCAGGCTGGGGGCTTACACCCACGGGGGGTCACAATCCCCCCGAATCCCGAGAGCCTGCGGTGATGTGGGTACCATGCAGGCATCCGCTTCAGGAGGAGCTGGCTGACGCTGAGGACGGTGCACGAGTGGGGTTGGGGTCTCTGGAGCAGACCGAGGGGGGACACCAAGTCCCCAGGGCTGCCCCACCGCAGCGAGGGTCAGCACGCCGGCTCCCACCCTGAGCTCAGGCAATGGGCGCAGTGCTGAGTGCCGGGACTGAGGGTTGCATAAATGGGATTATTTCTGCATCGTAGGGGGAAGGAACACATTTGATGAGGTTTCTGGGTACCACCACCTTGATTTACCCTTCTCTAGGGCTGTCAACTCAAAACCTCATAAATCCCATCAAACAGCTCCACCCAACCATTCTGAAACACAGGCGAAGCCGGTTGCGTAGCATGCCCCCAACCCACTGATCTCCCAGACCTGTAATTAGCAGAGGAGGCTCAGACCTGGCCCTAATTTTAGCAGCAGACTTCAAGGAGTCGGTCCTTTCAATGGCCACCGGGAAAAGCACCCGAGGGCTGGGGTGCCAAGCGCTCTCCTGCTCTTAAGCCCGATTCAAAAGCGAGGCTTTATTACTGCAAAAAGGGAACAAACAAAAGTTGGTCTGTTCTTCAGAAGTCATTGTTTCACAGCTTGGGTTGTCTGACAAATTTCCTTTTTAATAAATAACCTTTATCCTTAGGAGTGGAATTCCTTATTCAAATACTCATTATTAAGGCAATTATTAAGGCTTTTGCTAAGCAATAGCTCAATATTCCCATCTGATTCACCTGGAGGGAGAGAGCTTGGCTGGTTCCAGCATCCACTCGCCCACCCGCTCCCTGCCCTGAACCGAACCAGCCCTTTTGTTCCAGTCTGGGGTGGCCTAAAACTGCGTCATTTCCCCATCACCACCAAAGTCCAGAGAGGGGAGAGGGGGACTGACATGAAAACCAGCTTTTTAATATTTTACTTGTATTTAAAAGGGTTTTTATATGTCTCTCCCTGATACACCTGAAACCTACTGCAGCTGTAATGATGAAGAGGGGCTCCTTTGTTCATCATTTATAATTTACAGCAAAGAAGGTATTTAAAGAGCCAAACTTTCCCTTCTTTGACTGTATTAATCACAGCCTAAGCTTTTTCTTTTTTTCCCTGTGGCTGAGGCCAGCACATCAAGGTGCAGGACAGGATGGAGCAGCTCCCACCTTCCCAAGCAAGGCGAGACCCCCCCAGCCGGTTCGGAAGAGGGGAGCCCGGAGGAGCTGATGCAATCCCGCCCCGCTGTTACGCGGCTGCCGCATCACGCTCCCGCTTTTGGGACGGGGCCAAGTATTTGTAAGATCAAAACAAACCTGGAAGCCTCTTTGCTCCCGAGGGGATCCCCTCGGTGGGGAGCAGAGCTGGGGGTTCACGGCTGGTCAAGCCATGGGGCAGCCTCGACAAAGGGGAGGGAAGGCTCTGCTGTAGCTGACGAGAAATGGGAATTAAAAGAGGTTGTGGACAGAATTACAATGGTTATCAGGAGTGATTCAAATGCTCCTGGCTCTCGGTCAGGGCTCTGGAGGTGATGGGTTTCGCCGACACCCACAGGCCCTCCTCCTCCTCCTCCTTGTCCTCCCAAGGGGCTCAGCCCCTGCCCAGGCTGCTGGGAGCAGCAGACCTGTAATTTCCAGTGGCTACATTTCCTAACACAGCCCTTAAACTGGGAGTTTTTCAGGGTAGAGTGTAGTGGAATTAACCCTTCAGATGCCAGCAATATCTAAATTAGCACACACAATTAGCACAACAGAATTACCTCTGTGACTTTTGAGATGCTAACCTGCAGTACAGGACCCCTCTACAACGTTCTCTGGTTCAGCTGCCCCCCAGAGCCTGCCAGGTTCAGGTATTGCCATCTTCTTCTACCACTTCAATCCACAGTAGCTTCATGTCTTTGGTACCAAAATAGCCTAGCGTTAATAGCGTTCACTTCAGCAGTTTTGCATAAAAAGACTTCCTCGAGAAGAGCCTTCACCAGCACAGCAATTAAACAGCTTTGAGGAAAATGAAATAGCCTGAATTAAACTGGTTCCTGAACTTGCATATTCAGAAATTTAGAGATTTTTCCAATTCTAGAAGGTCAGAAGCAGCTTGTAAAGGACCCAAAAAAGCCCAAACATTTCAACCATCTGTGAACACTGAGAAAGGTTCAGGTCAAAGCTGACCCAGTTACGTCCAGCGGCGCCGGGAGAGGTGGACTGGGGGGCACCTGGGTCTGCCCGCACTGCTCTTGGCTGTCGGTGCAGATCTGCTTGTAGAACAAGGCTGCTCTTGCGGGGAAGGGGCTTTGCCCCTCCCTGTAACCTCCTCCTCACCGC